GTTGGTAAAGAAAAGGGGAGGGAAAAAAGGGAGGTGTGAGGGAGATGATAGAATTTTTTTTGTTATTTTGTGTCTTTCCTTTTCTATTTCTGAATTAAGTATTTTATTTTAATAAAAATCCATATTCACGCGCTTTTTGTGTGTGATTGGCACGCATTATTACCACGTCAGTTACATCACTGCCACATAAGCACGGTCAACGGTCAGAGGTATTTATTAGTGTGCAAATAGTTAAGGTGAAGTGTTCAAATGAAAAAGTTGTAATTTAGTTTACCGGGTTGGCATAAGTGGCTCCGAGGCCATTTTGCCTTATTATTATTGTTGTTGTTGTTGTTGTTTTGTTTTTATGACGGTGGTATTTGGGCCAGCTTGCGTGCATCTGGTATTATCGCCACGTAGAAAAGCTTTAGGATTTTCAAGAGAAGATGTAACCAAAACTTACAAAGGTTAAAACCTTCTTTGTAACTAGTATTTGGGTTTTTTATTACTTGACCCATACAAGATGAAAGTCTCAGCAAATGGTTATCAGACGGGAGTCCGCCTATCAAGTGTTTGGTCTGCTACTTCATTGCATGTTACTACCTTTCAAACTCTCTGCCCATTTGACACTTTGTAAAAAGAAAACACTGCCCAAAGCTTTCCATTTTGCTTTATGAATCTGGGCTGCAACGTTTTCTTAGAGTACAACAAGGACTATGGTTCAATCTGATGTAAGCTGAGCTCCGCTATATGAATACTCAGTGTCTGATTCGAATGTTGTTTTTGGCTGCAGGATTGTTCGCTATTTCTTTACCCTTGAGTATCATTTATTCAATTTTACCTGCAAAAGGCTCAAGGAAAGCACAGTTTTATGCTTTTGTTGTGGCACATAAGAGACAATTGTCTAACTTTGCTCCCTCCAGTTTCACATTAAAATGGTATACATATGTACATTTAAGTGTATGGTGCTATTCCATTGCTTGTGTCATTAATCATTCTTTGTTTTATTTTAGTGTGAGTTACCAGAATATTCAGATAGTGAAAATTCTTCGAAGCCCGAAGGTGTGAGTGGAATCATGCCTAAAGTTGAAGATCCATATTGTGAATTTCCATCTCTATACACATATACAAGGCCTACAGGGGTAAGGAAAGAAATAATGCATTTAGCTGCTTTTTCCTCCTTGGTAATATTTTTGTTGCCATGTTTTATTCGAAGTCAACGCATATGCTGCATTGGTAATATTGTTTAGCATCAGGTGGTAGCATTAATATTCATCACCTCTGTAATCTTCTTATTTTTGATGCTAATGCATCTGTAGGACAATATTGCAAGCTCATCAGGCAGCAGTGTGAGATCATCTCTTCTGGCTATGGGTTTCAATGCATCACTTGTTGACAAAGCAATTGAGGAAAATGGTATGTAGCGGAAAACTAACTTCTGCTTTAATCTATTGTGAGACTGTGTTAGCAAGTTGTTTTGCTACTGAATTTTGGAGAAAGAATAACAAGGCTACCACCTTAAAGAAAAGAAAAAAGTAAAGAATACCAAGGGTTCCAACTCATAAATTTTCTTAAAAGCTTTGGTTGTTATTACAGTTGAGTAACGTAATAAGGGATATTTTCTTTTCAATCTAGGTGAAGACAACATTGACTTGTTACTGGAGACTCTTGTTGCAAATTCTGTAAGTAACTATTTCTAATGTGTGGTACTTCTGTTTTTCCTTTGATGCTGCTCCTTTCTTGCGTTAAATAATGTGTTGATGCAACATGTTACTCCTCTTTGTCTAACTGTCAAGCACCCTCAACACCTTTTTACTTCTTTCAACGTAAAACTTCTTATCATACAAATTTTCTATTCGATGTTTATTTCCAGAGAAAAGAATGAATGATAACGTAGTCTATCAAAGAAGTTGGACATATAAAACTTCTATTTCTAGGGTCCTCAATGTCTGGTTAAGTAGCTATTAAGTGCCCCTCTACAGATGTTTACTTGTGGTACGAATAAAGTGAGAGTATAGAATATGCTGGTCTATCTCCTTAATCGAATGTCTATCTTTCCCTTTTAGTTTTCCCCAAAATGCTGTGCATTCATTAATAGGTCAGACATATATACACTATAAAAGTTACAACTTACAAGGGGCCACTTTTGGTCTTCTCATTTTGTTCTTTAAAAACAAAAAGAAGTATTTATAACAATAAAAAAACAAAAAACAGAAAGGTTCTCTGATCCCACATGTTCACCAAGCAAATAAATTATTCGCTTCATTTTTTCTCTTAGAAACACCAATGAAGTCAAATTTAGCTTTGCTCCTGCTATTTTCTATAATATTTATGCTTTCAAGTTCTTTGCTTTTTGGTATTATTTTGTGATACATTTGAAATGTATGATGACGAATAAGAGGACTTGTAAGTAAAATCATCTGTGGTTACAGATTTTTTGCTTCCAGTTATGGCACATTTGGGTCCTTCCTGGAGGGCCTTTATACCATTTCTTCTCATGTTTTCATAGGACAGCTTCTGCTTCAAATAGTTGGTTAATTTTCTTGAGTTTCTTTGATTTTCCTCTATTCAAGTTTATTTCCTGTTAGGTTTGATATTAGAAACAAAGTAGATTTGTTGATTTCAATGAAAATATAGTTCACTTCGCAAATTGTGCTAATGATGGATGCAAAACATTGTGCTGCTCAGTTGTAGATTATTCCTTATGCCATCATTTGTATAATGATCATCAGAATAACCAGAACTGATGTTCTAGGATCCTTGTAATAGGATAGAAATTTTAGATGTATATTTTGGTACAACCTCCTGTAAGTATGGCCAGCACTGCCTTTGTGCCTTTTGAATATATAATACTGTTATCATCTCAAAAAAAAAAAAAAAAAAAGAACTGATGTTGTTGATGTGTTTAAATAGGATCCTCCTAGAGCAGAATCGTCAGATTCTCTGGATAGCTTGTTTGGTGATGATGAGGACACAAACAGTTCTGCCAAGTATGATGGAGATGTACATATAAAAGAGGTGAAGTAATATGGCTCTACGTGATGTGAGTTATGTGCTTCTATATATGTTGGTTACTACTTGCTAGGTTATAAGAATTAACCAGTAAACTTTCTAATACAATTGTGGAGTTTGGTTCTGATAAATGGATAGTCCTCTTGACATGGATGCTTTTATTTCCAAGAGGTTCACAGCTTAAAAGTAATTAGGTTGGAAAAATTGTTGAAGATATAAAGGCAAACAGATGCAATTTTTGCCACTGTATAGGTCATTTTAATCATTTTGTAGACTGGGGAGGAAGTTTCATATACAATCTAAGATTGATAGAAGAGAGAATCCAGCCAGGAAAAGAACTACGTTATTATAAGAGGTGGTTCATGCCAGTGAAAGAAGCAATGAAAGAAAAGTCTGTTTATTCAAAACCATTTCTTTGAATGAAGTTATATTGCTCCACTAAAAAAGAAGTGGTTGGCCTTTCTCAACGTGGTGTATAGAACAGAAAGCCTTTTGGTACAAGACTGGGCTGTTCACTTTAATGATAAATTGGTCATTGCTAATGAATATCGTTGTTTCAATAGCAATGTGTACCCCAACTTTTCACACTGATGCATATTAGATGTAGAATAATCTATTTACTTCATGCTCATGCATATTGCTTTTCAGTCTGTATGCCATTTTAGGAATAAAATCCTATGCAATGAAAACTGTGGGTAATATGCTTTCAAGCTCTTAGCCTATGTGTTTTTACATAATATTAAAATTAAGAAAGATAAAGAGGATATGCGACTTGGGTTGTCTCCTTTTTCTGTTGCAGGAGCCTGATCCTTGTGGTGGAGTTCATGATGACAAGAGAGCATCTTTATTAGCAATGAGTTTCTCTTTGGACGAAGTCGAATTTGCAATCGGTAAACTTGGTATGTGAAATAGCTGTAGCTTTTTGTGTTTTCCAAAAATGCTCTAGGATTTTCCTTGTGGTATTATGGTTCTTCTCATCTCTTAAGCAGAATCCTCCCAATCATGCTGTATAGCTGATAGCCAATTCTGAGCTTGTGTCCGTTAAGCAGAATCCTCCTAATCATGCTATCTTTGTTGTCTGTTTCTTTTTGCTTTAAATAGGCAATCATTTAAACTAAGTACTCCTCATCCTGTTGCAGGTGAAGCTGCTCCTGTCAACGAACTAGTTAATCTAATCTTTGCTGCTCGAATCGCTCAAAATTGTAAAAAAGATGACGGTGATGATTCTGTTGTTGAGATTAAAGAATGGATCAAGGTTAGTGATTTATGTTAACTCTTTTTTGAGCATTTGGTAAGAGAAAAAAATATGAAGCATAAGAAGAGTACAAGAAAGGTGGACAAGCTAATATGCTGAAGTTACATTAACTGAACAGATCACTCAATCTAGCTGTAGATCTACCAAAGAGATGTATTTGAATAATCATATAGCTCACCTTATGGAAAAATGATCCTTTGAATCATCTGTCTTTAAAAGTTATTATAGGAGGCTTTTTGTCATGTACCTGGAGCAAAGATTGCACTTGCAAATATTTAATTGCTTCATATAACTGTTTTATACTCCTTTCCTTCTTTCTGACTTGAATGTGATTTAAGAATGGAATATTGCTATAACTAACCTGCTCCATACTATATGAGCCCAAATGTCTTATTTCCTACCATTGATCAAGTGGCATGTGCTATTAATATCAAACCTTGTTGTCTAGGAATGCAGCACCGAGGCTATGTTTAAGATCATGGAGAAGACGTTAAAATTGCTTGAAATGGGTTTCTCTGAGAATGAAGTTTCTGCAGTTATTGAGAAGTATGGTGAGCAAATTATCTCTTTGCTAGTGTCTATTCCACCAGTAACTATTTGCCTCTTGAAATCGTAGTGTTTCTACTGCAGCCTTTCTTATTTGGTAAATTATTTCCTTACTGTCTTTAAGCTCTCTTTTTCAGCCAGGGTTTTAAACAGATGCTTCATTTAGCTTTCATATTCTGCCTTTTAGGTTCTGAAGTTCCTCTTGAAGAGCTTGCAAATTCAATTATAGATCCTAGTAGTGGAAGAATGGACAAGGTAATGTCTCCTTTTTTCTTTTCGTAGTGCCATAAAACTTGCAATTATGGTAATATCTTATTTGTTGATCCAATAGCTTGCTTCAATTGGTTTGGGACCAAAAATAGGACAACGATGGAGCAAAGAGGTTTCAAGCAATTGCGACAACCATCTTATAGCCTTTCCTAAGTGAAACTCCCTGATGGTGTGGTTGCAGCTGTAGTTCACCATTAGCTATTACGGAATTCTTGGGGATGATTATTCTTCATTATTTGCACGAAGCTTTATGTTAGAATTGATACCTGGGCTACCATTTTGCTCATCAAAGATGTCAACTATTAACATGCTCTGGTCCTTTTTCTCTAGTGTGATCTCTGATGTGTTGGTTCTTGATAAAAGAAATTAAGGGAAATAACTGGGAAGATGACAAGAAAATAAAAAATATACTGGAATAGATGTAAAAGGAACTGAAGCTGAAAATACTATATTATTTTTCTGCATTTGGACTACAATTTATAAGAGAAATACTAACTTAAAAGACCTAAAAATCAGCACAAAATCTGCTGAAAATAACAAACTCCTAGAGACTAGTTCACTCCTAAATACTAGTTCAAAATTATTTCAAATTCAAACTAAATTACTGCAGTAAATAACTCTTAAGCTGAAACAGTAAAATAATTTTACTATTTTCAGCTTCTAAAGCATTTTTCTAACACTCTTCCTTGCTTTTGAAGCTGCAAATTCTGAATTTATGCCTTGTAAACTGGAATCGACTTTGCACGTAAATCTGCCAACTGATCTTTGGACTTGCAGTAAATTGAGTTCAATTTTCTATTTTGCTGCATCTCATGATTGTCAATGAAATAAGTTGGCTCTTTTTTCGGCTTCATTTTGACTTGAGGCTTGTCAACTTTCTTCCACATTTGCATTTTGCCTTGAGGCTTGTCAACTTTCTTCCAAATTTTATTTTTCTGAAATATTGACTACTTCTTTGTCTCATTTTCACATATGTCCTCTTTTGGAGGATTATCTGCACTTTGTAGATTCTTTGGGCTCCATTCTTCATCTTCGGTTGGACCAAATAAGAAGTTTTTACCTCTCATTTTAACCCTTAAAATCTCAAGTCCAGTTGCATCATAAATGAAACAATATTTATCTTCAAAGGATACTTTAAATCCTTTTTCCATTAGTTGTCCAACACTTAATAAATTTTGATCAATATCAGGAACATAAAGAACATCTGAAATTTTCTTAGTACCTGACTTTGTTGGGATTGCAACAGTTCCTTTTCCCTTAGCAAGAATATAATCACCATTCCCAATTCTGACTTTCTTATTTCCTATAGACGTGAACTCTTTGAAAAGATTTCTGTCATATGTCATGTGGTTTGTACCGCCACTATCAATCAACCAAAAATCAGATTTTTTTATTGAAAGAATAGTTGCCACAAACGAGTGATCTTCTTCTTCTTCATTGGCGACTTGGGCATCTACTTCATGCTTTTGATATTTGCCTTTGCAAATTACAGCTTCATGACCAAGTTGGTTGCAAATTTTGCACTTTGCATCTGGCCTCTTCCAACATTTGAATGGTGGATGACCTTTTTTGCCACAGTGCTGACAAGGCGGGTAATTTTTTTTAACATTATTACCCTTGCTTTGAGTTTTGTGGTTGGCTGCCAGGGTAATCTTGGATAGATCCTTTGTATTTTCCAAGGTAGTTATGGATACTTCATATTTTTCAGGCACCGTAACAAGAATTTTTTCAACAATTCTTGAATCTTTAAATTTAGTACCAAGCAATCTTACCTTGTTAACAATGCCAAGCAACCGATCTGAGTATTCTTTGACAGTCTCAGATTCCTTCATTATTTGCAACTCGAATTCCCTTATTAAATTCAACACCTTCATGCCTCGTATTCTTTCATCTCCTGTATATTCTCCCTTCAGATAATCCCATATTTCTTTTGCTGATTTGAGAGCCATAACTCTCGTGAAAATTGTTGCAGACACACCAGCAAACAAAGTTGCTTTCGCCTTTGATTTCCTGGTTTTCTTTTCCTTGTGACTCTTGATCTGGTCCACGGTGGGATTGTTAGGCAGCGGAAGAACATCATAATCCTCTTCACGCTCCAAAGATCTAAAGCCTCCAAGTAAGTCTCCATTCTCACTGCCCACAGTTGGTAATTTTCACCATCAAAGATTGGAGGAGCCAATTGAGAAAAACTCATTTCAGTCTCCATCTCACTCAAGAAAAAGATTTTACTTAGGTCCCTTAAGAAGATGACTCTTGATACCAATTGTTAGTTCTTGATAAAAGAAATTAAGGGAAATAACTGGGAAGATGACAAGAAAATAAAAAATATACTGGAATAGATGTAAAAGGAACTGAAGCTGAAAATACTATATTATTTTTCTGCATTTGGACTACAATTTATAAGAGAAATACTAACTTAAAAGACCTAAAAATCAGCACAAAATCTGCTGAAAATAACAAACTCCTAGAGACTAGTTCACTCCTAAAGACTAGCTCAAAATTATTTCAAATTCAAACTAAATTACTGCAGTAAATAACTCTTAAGCTGAAACAGTAAAATAATTTTACTATTTTCAGCTTCTAAAGCATATTTCTACCATGATGCTTAAAGTTGTGAAGACACTAGTACAACTAGATTAATTTAGATAAACTATTGTATTTTTTCAAATGACATATAGATGTTCTCCTATTTTTGTTATGATACTTCTTGTTTATCTGAGATCTTATTTCCTTATAAGTGTGCTTCCGTTTGAGAATACTGTCTAACTTTATTTTGTTTTTTACTTGTTTGCAGCATCTCTTAAACTCTCTCAGCAGGAATGGTTCAATTGGATTTCATCCACTAGCTGTTAAGAAAGAGGAATGTGATGTGGATACCTCTGAATCTAGAGACCTTAACCTACTGGAAAAGCTTAAAGGGAAACGGCCAAAGGAGAACTATATTGATGAGATAAACACTTTAAAAAGACCGAAACCAGAGTATGATGAGGCCTTTGGCAGTTCTCTTGGCCCTGCATGGCAAGAAATGACCAGTAGAAACTTAGGGCCATTCAATACCACGAGGACTCCAGTTTCTCGAAGAGCAATTCACCAAAGATCAAGAGTGCTGGATTGCCAAGAGACACCGAAATTGTCTATGCCCAAATCATGCAGGACCCTTGATAAGGAGGTGGCTAAAGCTCCCTATTTCTTTTATGGGAATGTAATGAACTTATCTCATGACTCTTGGGTAAGAATCTCTCAGTTTTTGCATGCCATTGAGCCAGAATTTGTTAATACTCAACTTTTCTCAGCTCTGAGTCGTAAAGAAGGTTATGTACATAATCTTCCTACTGAAAATCGATTTCACATTGTTCCAAAACCACCATTGACGATTCAAGAAGTGGTTCCTAATAGCAAAAAATGGTGGCCACCATGGGATACTAGGCAACACTTGAGCTGCATCAATTCTGAGACATCTTGTGTATCTCAGCTATGTGATAGACTTGAAAGAACAGTTAGTGATTCCCAGGGGTTTCCCGCGATTGACAGACAAAGAGATATCCTCCACCATTGCCAGATATTGAATCTAGTCTGGGTTGGCCGCTACAAATTGGCTCCTGTAGCGCCAGAACAAATAGAACGCATTCTTGGCTACCCAGAAAGTCATACTCGAAATGCTGGGTTTAGCCTGATGGAAAGACTTCTATCGCTGAAACATTGCTTCCAGATAGATACATTGGCTTATCATCTGTCTGTATTGAAGTCTCTGTACCCTGGAGGATTGACAGTTTTGTCGATCTTTACTGGAACTGGTGGAGCTGAAATTGCATTGCATCGCCTTGGAATTCGCTTAAAAGTAGTTGTCTCCGTAGAGGCTTCTGAGAAAAACCGGAGAATTCTCAAGCAATGGTGGAGTAGTTCGGGACAAACAGGAGAACTTGTGCAGATTGAAGACATTCAGAAGCTGACCAGTAACAAGGTAGAGGTCTTGATAAAGAAGTTTGGTGGTTTTGATTTCATCGTATGTCAGAGTCCTTGCACATACTCTTCTAAAGGTAATTTATTTGCAGATACTGATAGTCATGCAAGTTTAGATTTCATGTTGTTTCACGAGTTTGTGCGTGTCCTACAACGTGTAAGAAATGCAATGGGACGGAAGTAGTGAGTTCCTTAGCTTTATTCTGTAGGAACATATGGACTGAGCTTAATAGTATGTTGTCCTAGTTTATGACTTCGAAGTTCTAATATATGAAAGCTTAAATGGAGAACGGTGACTATTACATTACTTAGTTTTCAGATTATCTATTTTAGTAGTTGGATGTGCACGTTACTATTATATTTCGAATATATGTGTGCTATCTCCACCTTCTTAAAGGTAGGAGTAAGGTCTGCGTATACTCTACCTTCCCAGTATACTGGGTATGTTGTTGTATGTGTGCTATTAGCCTTTTACGGTCATTCATGGAGTTCTTCAGCTGACTTGATCAAGGGCGATTTTTAAGAAGAGTCATTAGTATTGTCCTTTTGAGGAGACATCTTTATAATGCACTTGTTTGGGCCATGTACCAAAGCAATGAGTGTCACATGTATTCTTTATCTAAGGTTTATTAATTGTGGTTACTTGATAACAACGGCGAAGCCAGGAATTTCTTAAAGGGTGTTCAAATTTGAAAGAAGTGAAAAAAAAGTTCCGATAAAGGGTGTTCAATATAATATTATATATTACTAAAATCTAATATTTTACCTATATGCAGTGTAATTTTAATGTAGCTTTGCCCCCGCGCGATATCAAAATTATTGTGCATAGACAGATATTTGCGTTCCTTCTTCGAACTAGTTTTGTCATCGTTCTCAATATATTACAATCTTGCATCTTCACACTATCCTTGTCTTGACAGCCTGTCAATGAAGTTACCAATCGTCTTCCTTAGCAATGCTACACAATTCTAAAATGTAAGTATACCCTCAATGACCTTATAACGTCCCTGACATTTGGAGCTAAGTTTCAATCTTCTCGTGAGTCCTAGTGAGGTTTGCGTTTAGAGTTGCAATTTTAGGTTCGCGCCACACCTTGGGTGGCCGTTTCCGGGCCTTACGTATATACGGGTTGTTTTATGTAAATGCGGAACGCTTTGTACACCAAACTAATCTTTTTTAATTCTCCCACATGATGCTATATTGAGCTACAAAAAGGGGTGCACTTGAGCCCCTACCATTAAGGGGCACGTGCACATATAGCCATTCTAAGGGATACTATCTAGTAATTAGCCAATACTTATTTTATCCTAAAATTGTAAACTAAAAATCTTAACTTCAGGACATTTTTATTCCGAAAAATTTACCTGAAAACTGAAATTTAAGACACACTGGCTAATTCCTAAGTAGTAGCCCTTTAGAGTGGCTACGTGATGTCATTTCTACACCATTAAGCTAGGCTTAGCCACTCTATCTTTTATGTAGGTAAGTTTCTTTTTGACAATATGGATATATATATATATATATATATATTATATAAAAACTAGAAGTTGTTGCTAGTACATATATTTCGAATATGAAAATTGTCACATATTGGTGATCCAATGTTTGTGACATTTTGATTCCCTAGTAGTTTAAGTCTATTACAAGCTAATGTCTAGTGACTTCTTGTAGTAGTAGATTTCATCCAGATCCTTTGATAGTTGTAAGCTTACAAAATGAGGTGGAGTTGGATGTATTTTTGCAATATCCTTGCTTGGCTGCCAAAAATCTTCTTTGCATGCATCTTTTGCTAGAAGATGTGCTACTTGGTTTCCTTCACGAAAGTTATGCCGTAGGAACAGGTCCTTCCGTTGGAGCATCAATAACCTGCATGAATGAACAGTGTTAGTTACAACAAAGTGATCTTGGTTGATTGCATTGATGGCTTCAGTGGAGTCTGTTTCCACTTCTAGTGGGAATAGGTCGTAGATTGTTGCTATTCGAAGACCTTTGTGGATTGCCTGAAGCTCCGAGTGAAGAGGAGATTGGGATTTGTCTACCTTTTGAAACCCTATTATCCATTTGCCATAATGGTTTCTAAATACTCCTCCCATGCCTGATTTGTTACCTTCGTATTTGAAGGCCCCGTCAGTATTCAGTTTATACCAGTAACGTTGTGGGGGATGCCATTTTATGGTTATAGTGGATTTATCAGTGGGGGTATTTCCTGTGGAGTTGAAGAATAGGAATTCAAAGGCCAGATTACAAATGTCTTTCATGCGGGGGGAATAGTGAGTGTTATTGAAGTTATTGTTGTTTCTATTAATCCAAATTCCCCATAAAATAAAAGGAAGTAGATTATTCCAAGGAAGTTTTAGGGGGAGAGTGTTGATGTTCATGTCCTTTAATTTGGTGAGCCAATGAGTGTCCCCGTCAGAATCAAGATTTTCAATTTTTAACTGTTTCCATAGGCATGAGACAATAGGGCATTTGAAAAAAATGTGAGTGATTGTCTCCTCTTGATCTTGGCAACTGGGGCAGTTAGGGTTTATGTTAATCCCAATATGGTAGAGATATGATCGGCAAGGGATTTTATTATGAAGGGTTTTCCAAATAAATTTTTTTATTTTATTAGGACATTGTAATTTCCATATCCAATCGAACTCATGTTTAGTATCAGTGTCCCAATGTTTTAGTAATTGGTAGCATGATTTTGTGTTGAATATCCCATTTGGGCTAAGCCTCCATAAAGATTTGTCAAAGTTTTGAAGAGGTTGAGGTACTGAGTTAACATTGTCCAAGATGGTGGGGGGAATGTTAAAAGAGGTATTGTTGAAGTTCCACTTCCCATTGCGTAGTAATCTTTTTATTGGAAGGGTGCTTTCATTTAATTGGAGAGGACCTTCAATGCATTCTCTCAAGGGTGGTAAGTGGGGGATCCATCGAGTCTCCCAAGTATTTAGGTTGGAGTTTTTACCGGGAAGCCATTGAATTCCTTGACTACAAGTTTTCCATCCATTAAGAATACTTTTCCATATGAAAGAGGAGTTGTTGTAACTCTTATTGCTACATTTACGAATTAGAAGGTTTGCCCAGGGGGTGGATGTATTGTTAAGCAGTCTCCATGATAAACCACTTAGCAAAACTTTATTTTTTGAATGAGCATTTTTCATTCCTAGTCCTCCCATATCTTTGGGTTTTGTTACTATATACCAATTAATAAGATGAAGTTTTTTACGATCCGTCGTGGTGCCCCAAATAAATTTCCTTTGAATTTGATCAATTTGTTTATGAATTTTTATGGGTAGCATGGTGTATCGCATGGCATGGTTGGGGATTGAGTTAAGAGTAGCTAGGGCTAGTGTAGTCCTTCCTGCTATATTCAGGAGATTTGTTTTCCAATTGGAAAGTTTAGCCCGCATTTTATCAATAATGAATTGATAGTCGGATGCCTTGGGAGCATTGTTGAGGATTGGAAAGCCTAGGTAGTTCCCAAAATTTTTGGTAATTTTAATGTTGAAATCTAAGGCAATTTCCTTGGCCAGTAGAATGGGACAATTTTGTGAGAAAATTATTTTTGATTTCTCATTATTGATTTTTTGCCCTGACATATTACAAAAGGTGTTGAGACAGTTTTTGATGGTGCAATAATTTTTTTTGTCAACTTTTGCCATTAGGGTTAGGTCGTCTGCAAAGAATAAGTGGGATATGTGTGATGGTTATTTAGGCTAATAGGATCCCAAAGATAAGTATCTACTTGATGAAGAATCAGACGTGAGAGCATTTCCATGCACAAGATGAAAATAAAAGGTGATAGAGGGCATCCTTGTCTGATTCCCCTACTTGGGGCAAAAAAGGTAGTTGTAACTCCGTTTACCAAAATAGCAATGTTGCTAGTACCGATACAATTCATAATGAGATTCTTTATTTTGGTTGGAAATTGGAAGTTAGTGAGAGTTAGGTATATGAAGGACCATTCCAATCTATCGAATGCTTTTTTCAGGTCTAATTTTAGGATCATGTGCCCCTTTTTCCCCTTTGTTTTTTTGAACTGGGCTATTAATTTTTGGATTATGATTGCATTGTTCGAAGACCTTCTTCCTTTTATGAAGCTAGCTTGGAAGGGGCTAATAATTTGATTTAGAAAGGGTTGGATCCTATTTGCGATGATTTTTGTAATGGTTTTGTAAATGGTATTGCAAAGACCTATGGGTCTAAAAAAATTTAAATTATTGGCACTAGGCACTTTTGGGATTAGACAAATGAAAGTATTATTAATATCCGGAGGGAGTGTTTGGGTTTTAAAGACTTGAGTACAAAGGTTTGTGACTGAGTGGCCTACAATATTCCAGTATTTTGGGTAAAAAAAAAGGTTGTATGCCATCAGGTCCGGGTGATTTAAAAAGTTTGAAGGAAAAGATTGCTTTTTGAACTTCCCCTTTAGTTGATTGATTATCAAGGATTGATAGATCAATATTGTTGAAAGTTTGGGGGTTGTTCTTTATAGAAGACCAATTTGTAGCCGAATGGTCAGTTTTGAAAGCATTTTGGAAGTAATTGAGAGTATGGTCTAGGATTTGAGTTGGATCGTTGATCCAATTTCCAAGACTGTCTTTGAAATAGATTATTTGTTTTTCCTAGCTCTATTGGTGGCTACTTATANTGAACTTGAGTGGTAATTTTTGGAGTGTTGGATGCCCTTAAGTCTAGCTATTATCCTTAATTTCTTCCCGTGTGTATCACCAAAATGTTTTTCACTCCAATATTTAATGTTGTCCCGGAATTTTTGGGAACTATGGACATAGTTGGTATTATTCCAACTTCTCTAACAAGGTTTATAAAGTCCGGGTGACGACAACAAAAGGTTTCTAGCCTAAAAGGCTTGTTAAGAGAGGTACATTTTTTAGGATTACAAATTATTAGGAGGGGATTATGGTCCGAGTGGGTCCTAGGGAGGTGGGTGATATAAGCTTCAGGGAATAAGTTAATCCACTCTTCATTGGCAAACTCTGTCAAGCCTTTCTAATATGAGCCCTTTATTTTTTTTCTTTTGTTAGACCACGTAAACTTAGGGCCTTTATAACCTAGATCAATTAGGTTACATGTGTTAATGCAATTCCCAAAGGACCTTGGTTCTTTTATTACTGATTTTCTTTCCTCCAATTTTTCGTCCGAGGCTAGGACATCATTAAAATCGCCTCCTACTAGCCAGGGACCTCTAATTACATTGTGCATGTCTAATAGATTATTCCACATAATATTTCTAAGGTTCCTATCAGTACTAGCGTAAATTGAAGTAAAATACCAAGTTTTGTTTAGGGAAAATACCTCAATAGTAGCACTAATCTCCTGACTT